GGAGGATGTGAACGACCACGCCCCCGCCTTCGCCGTCAAGAACATCACGGTCACGGTGGATGAACTCACGCCCGTGGGTGAGTCTGGGGGAGGGGGGAGAGGGAAGGGGAGGGGGGAGGGAATAGAGGGGGAGAGAAAGGAATAAACAATCTTTTCATTATTATTGTTAGTAATGCTGCTACTATTACTAATGATGATAATGATAATAATAATGACATTATTGTTGTTGCCGCTGGTATTATTGTTATTATTATGATTATTATTGTTGTTATTGTTGTTATTATTCTAATACTTTTCTAATACTATTATTATTACTGTTATTGATATTGTCATTATTATTATGATGATAATAATAATTATTATTGTTATTATTATTATTATTACTAGCATCATTTTTTTATGATTTTTATTGTTGTTACTATTATTATCATTATTGTCATTATCATCATTATTCTTCCCATCCTCACCCCCCCCCTTCCCCACAGGCCTGACCATCCTACCCGAGATCCGAGTGACGGACGGCGACAAGGCCAACACAGCCAACTCGGAGGTCACCCTCGAACTGCGCGAGGGCGACCCCGAGGGGCACTTCACCATGGCGGACCGCAAGAGGGGCACCATCACCCTGGCCAAGCCCCTGGACTACGACGCCGGACCGGATACCTTCCTGCTGGGGGTGGTGGCGAAGGTGAGTGGGAGGGGGGGGAGGGGAGAGGGGAAGGGAAGAAGAGGGGACAGGGTTGAATGCGGCGGTGAGGGGAGAGGGCGAGAAGAGGAGGGGGAAAGAGGGAGAAGGAGAGGGGAGAGGATAAAAAAAAAGTGGGAGGGGAAAAGGGGAAGGGAAAGGGAAGAAGAGGGGAGAGAACGAGAAGAGGAGGGGGAAAGAGGGAGAGGGGAAGAGGAGAGGGTGAAAAAGAAGGTGGGAGGGGAACAGGGAGAGTTGGATCGGAAAGGGGTAAGGAAGGTAGGAGTGGGGAGAGGGGAGAAGGTGGTAAGGGGAAAGGAAAGGAAAAAGAAAGAACGGGGAGGGGTTTGGGTGAGGGGAATAAGAAGATGGTGAGAAAAGAAAGTGGGAGGGGAAGTAAGAGGAGAGGGAGAAAATGAGAAAAGAGTGGGATGAGAAAGAGAGGGGAGTTTGGGTGGGGTGGAAAGGGGAAAGGGAAGAGGATAGGAGGGAAAAGGAGGTGGGTCGGATAGGGTTAGGAAGGGAGAAAGGAGATGATAAGAAGCGGGGAAAAGGGGTAAGGGGAGGGGTTTGGGTAGGGTACCTAGGAAAGAGAGGAAAAGGTAAGACACCAAAAGAGAAGAAGGGCGAAGGGAGAGAGAGGCGAGGCTAAGCTAACCGAAGACTAGAAATGGACGGGATAAGTGAGATCAACTCCTTTTCCTCCCTCCTTGCAGGACATGGGCTCCCCGTCGCTCAGCTCGACGACCACAGTGACGGTGGTGGTGGTGGACGCCGACGACCTGCCTCCGGTGTTCAGCCACGAGCGCTACTTCGCCAAGGTCTCCGAGCACCCGGGCCACGACACGGTGAGAGACGCGCCGCGTGTCGTAGATGTGACATGAATCTAGATAGTAAGAGTGATGACAAGTAAAGAAAAGAAAGAAGGAAAATACTGTACACGGAGTTTACTGTATACAACATAATGGATTTTGTCATTCAAATAGATAAATAGATGAATTGATATATATATGTGTGTGTGTGTGTATGTATGTGTGCGCGCGCGCGTGTTATTTTCAACGTAAATAACTAGAAAGAAGTATGGTTCATGGTACACATTAATGTAAAGGTGTAATTTATAAAACCAGACATTTGCCCTCCAAAACGTGACAAAGAGGACGACCCCAGTTCTTACCCGCTCTTCTCCCGTCGACCCCAGGGCGCCGCCATCCGAGAGGAGGTGAGCTTGACCCCGGGCCCCCTCCGCGCTCTCGACGGCGACGTAGGGCAGAACGCCAGTCTTCGTTACACGCTCGTCCGTTCTCCGGCCTCCGAATACTTCACCCTCGACCCCCGCAGTGCTCAGCTGTTCCTCACGAAGCACCTCGACCGGGAAGTGCTGGCCGATAGCTCGCTCGTCCTCCATGTTCGAGCGGAGCAGGTAAGGCTTCGAAGTCTAGGCCTGGAGGGGGAGTGTTTTTACGCTGAGGGTTTTTATGCTTGGAGGTTGGCCACTTTTAGTGATGGATTTTTTGATGATTTGTTTACCTAACTTGTTTATTTTTTATGGTCTGTTTACCTGTCTTTTTTATTATTAATTTCAGTTTTTTAACGTTAACTGTTTATTTCCTCTCCCCCAACCTACCCACCAAACCCACTCACCCAAATCCCACCCACCAGGAGGACAACCCACGCCGTGTCGGGTCCAGCGTGATCGAGGTGTTCGTGGAGGACGTGAACGACAACCTGCCCGAGTTCAGCCACAGTGTGTACGCCATTTCCATCGTGGAGAATTTGCCGTCGGGTTTCAGCGTCGTCCAGGTGTCGGCCACGGATCGGGACGAGGTCAGGCTCGGACTTGGAGTTTTTTTTTTTTTCTGTATCTGTCTGTCTCTGGTTTTGTCTCTGATGGTCTGTGTCTTTCTCTCTCTCTCTTTTTCACTCTCTTTCGCTCTCTCTCTCTCTCTCTCTCTCTCTCTCTCTTTCTCTCTCTCTCTCTCTCTCTCTCTCTCTCTCTCTCTCTCTCTCTCTCTCTCTCTCTCTCTCTCTCTCTCTTTCTCTCTCTCTCTCTCTCTCTCTCTCTCACTCACTCACTCACGATACTCGAAGGTATATGCATATTCTGGGAATCCAAAGAAAGTGCAAATTCCGCGATAGTTTGGTCGTAACTAGTGTGGTGATTTTACATTTCTCCCAAGCTTTCGAATAAAAACAAAACATTTACGACCTTTCCAGGGGGTAAACGGCGCCTTCAACTACCACGTGGTGGGCGGCCAGGGAGCCTTAACTGTCAACCCTCTGTCAGGCTGGTTGACGGTGGACAACCACAACATCCTGGACCGCGAGGAGTCCCCCGTCATCACCCTGTACGTGTGTGCCAACCAGATCGCGCCCGTCGTCCAGGCACCGCCGGGCGTCAGGCAGACGTCCCTCTTCCGCAATAGGACTTCAGGAGGCGCCGACGACAGTCCGAGAGGAGGCGCGGTTGACGACAAGGAGGAGAAGGAGGAGGAAAGGATCCCCGAAGCCCCCGTGACGGAAGATCCTCCCACGACGTTCCAGGAGAGGTCGCGGGAGTCGCCGACGCGAGTCACTGTCCCGTTGTTGAGGCGGAGGACGCGACCCACGCCATCTACGCGAGCTGGAGAAAGAATCAAGGACAGTCCTTCGTCAGAGTCCCGGGCGCCGTCGGGAATTGTCACGCGTCAGAGGAGGACCGACGCCCAAGTGAGGGGAAAGGCAGCAGCTGAAAGAAGCTCGAGGGAACTCTCGAGAAGGGAATCGCGAGTGTTACCAGGCATCAAAAGGAATGGAGAACCTTCAGAAGATAATGAAGATGATTTTGATGTAACAACAACACCGAAGACGACAACAACAACAACAACAACAACAACAACAACACCAGAACCAAGTTCAAGGCTGCAACGCGTGAAGAGTAACCTCTCGAAACGACGCCTCCTCTCTCCCAGACGCTTGAGGAGAAGAATCGATGAGAATCGAAGCAGGTCCTCGAGACGTCCTCGCTCCGAACGATCCACAACCGAAGTCAGAAAATCTCCCGACTCCCCCGACTCTCCCGACTTCAGATCCGACTCGGAGTCCTGTGCCAAGATCGAGCTGAAACTCTTGGACGCCAACGACAACAACCCAGAGTTCCTCCCGAGTAACCAGTACCAGTTTACTATAAGTGAAGAGGCACGAGAGGGCACCGTTGTAGGTTCGGTAAGTGAGAGATACACATATGTTTAATGTTATAAGGAGAGATATTATATTAAATATTATATTACATTATCCGCATAGAGCATTAAAAATAAACAACAATTAAAGCCCCTCACCCACACCATAATTGATCACAAATCCCCCTCCAACACAAAACAGGTACAAGCAGAGGACCGCGACGAAGGCGGCAACGGACGCGTCAGCTACTCCATCCAGTCCCCAGGCAACAGCACGAGACGCGACCGCACCAAGGCCTTCTCCATCGACGAGGACAAGGGCACCATCCGCCTCGTCACCAAGCTGCTTCCTGGCGAGGTCACGCTCTTCGTCGAGGCGTCTGATAGGCCGTCTAACCCTTCGGAGACGAGGACATCTCTCGCCGTGGTCACTGTTTAGTAAGTCCCTCGACGTCGCCTGTTGGGTTTGTTTTTTTAGGATATTGGTTTATATTTTGTCTTCGTAGCATTTTCGTGTCATCGTTGGGTTATTGATATGTTGGTTATGGTTTGATATCAGAGCATTTTCATATAATTGTCTTATAGATATATTGGTTGTAGTTTTTTTATTTAACATATTTTTAATCCAACTAACAAAACATAAATCCAACGACAATAATAATAAAATACATTCACGTAACTAAATCCATCACACCAAGACTGCCTTAGCCTGAATTTATCACAATTTCCCCCCTCCCTCTCCTTCTTCTCTCCAGCGTCCAGGCAACCCAGATGTGGGAGCCGAGGTTCGTGGGCGCCCCCTACGAGCTGTGGGTGGGGAGTGACGCCACCGTGGGCACCAGTGTGGGGCAAGTACGCGTCGTGGACATGGAAGGCTCAGAACTCATGTTTGATATGTTCCATTCCTACCAAGAAGGAGGTGAGCTTAATGGCAGGCGATTATTTTTTAGTGTGTCCTTTGTTTTATTATTTTTTATTGAGTTTTTGGTCGTTAGATTGTCTCCTTTTTTTAAAGATTTTTTTTCCCTTCTGTATCCTTTTTTGATTGTTAGATTGTGATTCTGTCTTCTTTACACTTACATTTTTGTGAGTGTTATAGGAAGAGGTAATGTTTCTCTAGTCTTCTATGATACGTAAATATCCTTGGCAATCCCAAGATGGAAAATAATGCTACCTATCCACGACGAGGCATTGCGTACTCCCCCCCTCCCCCTTCTATGACGATCTATGACGACCCACACGACTCGATGCTCACTCCCAGACGACCTCCTTAACTCTAATCCTTCTTCTCCTTAACTCCTCAACTCCTCACCTCCTCACCTCCTCGTCGTCCTCCTCCTCCTCCTCCTTCTCCTCGTCCTCCTCCTCCTCCTCCTCCTTAACTCCCCTCCTCATTCCCTCAGTTCCCTCCTCCTCCTTGACGCCCCTCCTCCTCATTTTCTGCTCAGTTAGCTCCTCCTCTTAAAGTATCAACCCCCCTCCTCCCCCTTCACTCAGTTCCCTTCGCCATCGAGGAGAGCTCTGGCATCGTCTCGGTCGTGGCTCCTGTCCAGCAGTTCTCGAGGACCAACTACGAGTTCGAGGCGGTGGTCACGGACGGGCGGACGTCGCTCGTCACCAACGTCACCATCCACGTCGCCCCCAACAGGAGGCCTTCCACCAGGCGCAGCACCGTCGTCAACTTCTCCGTGCAGGTGAGTGGAGACTGGGCTTTGTGGTATTTCATTTGTTTGTTTGTTTGTGTTAGTTTTTTGTACTTGTGAGTAACATGTCGAAGGAAAGAAGTGGATTTGTTCAGCATAAATCCTTCACATTCTTCTTCTTCTCCTCCTCCTTCTCCTTCTCCCTCCCCCTCTCTCCTCCTCCTTCTCCTCGTCCTCCTCCTCCTCCTCCTCCTCCTCCTCCTTCTCCTCGTCCTCCTCCTCCTCCTTCTCCTCGTCCTCCTCCTCCTCCTCCTCCTTCTCCTCGTCCTCCTCCTCCTCCTCCTCCTTAACTCCCCTCCTCATTCCCTCAGTTCCCTTCGCCATCGAGGAGAGCTCTGGCATCGTCTCGGTCGTGGCTCCTGTCCAGCAGTTCTCGAGGACCAACTACGAGTTCGAGGCGGTGGTCACGGACGGGCGGACGTCGCTCGTCACCAACGTCACCATCCACGTCGCCCCCAACAGGAGGCCTTCCACCAGGCGCAGCACCGTCGTCAACTTCTCCGTGCAGGTGAGTGGAGACTGGGCTTTGTGGTATTTCATTTGTTTGTTTGTTTGTGTTAGTTTTTTGTACTTGTGAGTAACATGTCGAAGGAAAGAAGTGGATTTGTTCAGCATGAATCCTTCACATTCTTCTTCGTTTCCTTCTCCTCCTTCTCCTCGTCCTCCTCCTCCTCCTTAACTCCCCTCCTCATTCCCTCAGTTCCCTCCTCCTCCTTGACGCCCCTCCTCCTCATTTTCTGCTCAGTTAGCTCCTCCTCTTAAAGTATCAACCCCCCTCCTCCCCCTTCCCTCAGTTCCCTCCTCCTCCTTGACGCCCCTCCTCCTCATTTTCTGCTCAGTTAGCTCCTCCTCTTAAAGTATCAACCCCCCTCCTCCCCCTTCCCTCAGTTCCCTTCGCCATCGAGGAGAGCTCTGGCATCGTCTCGGTCGTGGCTCCTGTCCAGCAGTTCTCGAGGACCAACTACGAGTTCGAGGCGGTGGTCACGGACGGGCGGACGTCGCTCGTCACCAACGTCACCATCCACGTCGCCCCCAACAGGAGGCCCTCCACCAGGCGCAGCACCGTCGTCAACTTCTCCGTGCAGGTGAGTGGAGACTGGGCTTTGCGGTATTTCATTTGTTTGTTTGTTTGTGTTAGTTTTTTGTACTTGTGAGTAACATGTCGAAGGAAAGAAGTGGATTTGTTCAGCATAAATCCTTCACATTCTTCTTCTTCTCCTTCTCCTCCTTCTCCTCGTCCTCCTCCTCCTCCTTCTCCTCGTCCTCCTCCTCCTCCTTCTCCTCGTCCTCCTCCTCCTCCTCCTTCTCCTCGTCCTCCTCCTCCTCCTTAACTCCCCTCCTCATTCCCTCAGTTCCCTCCTCCTCCTTGACGCCCCTCCTCCTCATTTTCTGCTCAGTTAGCTCCTCCTCTTAAAGTATCAACCCCCCTCCTCCCCCTTCACTTTTTTTTTTAAGTGGTCTTTGGGCAGCGATTTGTTAAGTGGATAAGTAGATGGGTGGGTGGGCGGGGAAGTAGGTGGGTAGATTTGATAGATGGAGATATAGATGGTGGATGGAAATATAGATAGTGGATGGAAATATAGATAGTGGATGGAAATATAGATAGTGGATGGAAATATAGATAGTGGATGGAAATATAGATAGTGGATGGAAATATAGATAGTGGATGGAAATATAGATAGTGGATGGAAATATAGATAGTGGATGGAAATATAGATAGTGGATGGAAATATAGATAGTGGATGGAAATATAGATAGTGGATGGAAATATAGATAGTGGATGGAAATATAGATAGTGGATGGAAATATAGATAGTGGATGGAAATATAGATAGTGGATGGAAATATAGATAGTGGATGGAAATATAGATAGTGGATGGAAATATAGATAGTGGATGGAAATATAGATAGTGGATGGAAATATAGATAGTGGATGGAAATATAGATAGTGGATGGAAATATAGATAGTGGATGGAAATATAGATAGTGGATGGAAATATAGATAGTGGATGGAAATATAGATAGTGGATGGAAATATAGATAGTGGATGGAAATATAGATAGTGGATGGAAATATAGATAGTGGATGGAAATATAGATAGTGGATGGAAATATAGATAGTGGATGGAAATATAGATAGTGGATGGAAATATAGATAGTGGATGGAAATATAGATAGTGGATGGAGATATAGATGGTGGATGGAAATATAGATGACTGGATATATAGATAGAAAAATAGAGAGAGAGAGAGAGAGAGAGGAATATAGATATGCCTGATAATTTCCAGGAAAATAAAAAAGAAAAATACAGACACACCCGAAAAATACTTAGCATCCCTTCCTTCGCTCTCTAACCTCCTTCTTTACGGTCGACTCCTTTTATCTTGTCCGCAGGTGAGTCCGGAAGCCAGGAAGTACTTCGCCCTTGGCCAGGACGCCTCCCTGTACACCGTGGCGCCCTTGGACTACGAGGCCTCCCCCAACCACACGCTGGTCATCGTCAGCGGAAGGACCTCGGATATTTATTACGTGAACGTGCAGGTGAGTGCGACTGGTTTACGCTGTAGATAGATGTTTTTTATCTTCATGTATTTAATTATTTTTTTTTTACTCTAATTTTGGAGAGAAAGAGGGAGAGTGTGTGAGACTAATGAGTGTGTTTAGGGGAAGTTATCCGGTAAGCTGAAGGAGATATGATTTGGAGATAAATAACGTGGGTGAGAAGTACTGTTTTGAAAATAGCTAAAAAATAGATTAAGAAAAGACGATAATGGTGCGTGTATTTTTGTTTTTCTGTTTCTTTACGGTTTCCTTCCTTCCAGGTTGAGGATCTGAACGACAACCCGCCCCAGCTGAACGCGGTGGCGTACGAGGGCACCATCAGGGAAAACGCCTTACCGGGCACCACCATAAGAGTTCTTCCTGCTATACAGGTGATTATAGCTCTGGGAGTCGTTTGAGATTGTTGCGTATATACATATCAAATTTGATTTTTGTGATACTTGTGATTGGAAACTGTTCATGGCATTAGGATAAATGTTACGATATGTAACTGGAGCGCCCTTCCTGCAGGTGAGCGACAAGGACCAGTACCCCGGCGCCACCTACTTCCTCCAGCTGTTCGGCGACGCGGCTCACCTGTTCAACATCGACTCCTCGACCGGCCAGGTCACCTTCGTCGGCGACGACCTGGACCGCGAGAAGGTCGACTCTTACGTGCTGCGCGTGGAGGCGCGCGACGACGGCAACCTCACGTCGACGGCCAACCTCACCATCAACATCGAGGACGTGAACGACAACCCGCCGCGGTTCGTGCAGCGCGAGCCGCTCTTCTCGGCGCGGGAGGACGACCCGGACGAGAACTCCTCGAGGAAGCTCCCCGATACGTCCAACCTCGAGTACCTGGCGGACCTCGAGCGCTCCCTCGTCAAGATCCCCGAGTCCCTGCCCATTGGCAGCCGCGTGACGGAGGTCACGGCCACCGATGACGACGAGAAGCTGTACGCCGACGTCCGCTACAAGATCGACGCGCAGACCTCCTTCAGCTTCGCCGGCGGGGAGAACACGACGCCCATTCTGGAGGAGGCGTCGACCTTCTCCATCGAGAGCAAGACGGGCGTGGTCGTGGTGGCGGGGCCCCTGGAGCCCGACCACTTCTACCTCCTGAACATCTCGGCGACGGACGGCGGCGGCCTGGCGTCGCACACGACCGTCTCCGTCGCCGTGTTCGACGTGAACGACCACGCGCCGCGGTTCGAGCGCCCCGTCTACAACTTCGAGGTGGTGGAGGGCGAGTACCTGGTGGGGGAGGTTGGCAAGGTGGTAGCCTTCGACCAGGACTTCGGCAACAACGCCAAGGTGCACTACCAGATCATCTTCTACAAGAACTCGAGCGAGGACCAGGTGTTCCCCTTCAGGATCGTGGAGACCTCGGGCACCATCCTGGCCACGGGCACCGTCAACCGCGAGGAGCGCGAGGTGTACGAGTTCTCGGTCGTGGCCACGGACATGGGCACGCCGCAGCTCTCCTCGTCCGTCCTCGTCCACATCGACATCATCGACGTTAACGACCACCGCCCCGTCTTCTACGACTACAAGGACGCAATCTACTCCGGGGAGGCGAGCAGCGACGGCCAGCTGGAGTCGGGCAACGCCACCTTCACGCCGGTGTACACGGCCGCCCTCTCGGAGCACGCCCCTCGCGGCACCGTCGTGGCCAGGCTGTTCGCGAACGACTCCGACTCCGGCACGTCGGGGAACGGCCTCATCCTGTACAAGCTGGAGGGCGGCGAGGACAAGTTCTCCATCGACTCGAACAACGGCAGCGTGTACACCGTGGGCGCGCTGGACTACGAGCGCGCCCCGACCCACAACCTGACGGTGGTGGCGCAGGACCTGGGCACCCCGCCGCTCTCTGCCTCCGCCCTGCTGGTGGTCACGGTCGTCGACGAGGAGGAGGAGCTCACCACGCGTCTCTTCGACCGGGAGGAGTACGAGGTGAGGCAGTCATTGTTTTCTTCTTAACATTAACAGTCTGTTATGCAGTAGTTGAAATCACTCAAAGCGATGAATAAAAATCAGAACTTCATTATCATTCCCAGATATTAATTATATCAACCACATAATTAAGTAAAGCCATTTTACTTGTAAACTCTACATAAAAGAAATGCATCCTGCAAACAAATGCTTCCTTAACCAACATTAACTCACAAACTCCTTTATTTACTCGACCTTCCATACGCCAGGTTCGCGTGATGGAGAACAACGACACCCCCCTGCGACTTCTGGATCTGAACGTGAGCGAGGCGTTCTCCGGGCAGCAGCTCCACTACCAGCTGGTCGACCCGGGTATGTCGGGCACTGTGGCGGTCGACTCGTACTCGGGCGAAGTCTACCTCATCGCCAGCCTCGATCGGGAGACCAAGAGTAGCTATCGGTTCAAGGTAAGAGGCATACTTATCAGTGTTATGTCCCTCCCACGCATTTTTATCTATTGTTACAAGTTTATTGGGCTGCGCAATTTTATTCAGACTCAGTTTTCGAAATTTGGTGATAAACTTTGACGTAATTATTTATAGTTCTGTATGGAAGCTTTATTCCATATATGATTATAAACCTATGCCTTATACAACAATCACTATTTTCATATATTAAAGCAGCCAGTCTCTCACGCCCACGTTCACCTAAGAAAACTAATCTTCCACACACAGGTACGAGCAACGCAGCCGGAACGAGGCCGCGCTCTGGAGTACCTGAACGAGCAGTCGCAAAGCACGAGACGTTTCGAGGGAACGGCGGAGGACGAACTGACTTCTCCTCCCCCAGCTGACACCGAAGTCCCCGTCGTCGTCGCCTTAGAAACACTCCCTCACGACGACGAAGGTGGGTTGAGCGTCCCTGCCGAGGTGGTCTCCTTGGGGACTTACAGGAAGCCCGTGAGAAGGCAGAGGACAGCGCCGCCCTTGGGGGAGCCTGCCGTCGGGACACAGCCTTTGCGCGCACAGAGTGAGTGGATGGAAGAGGTGGGCGGTGTTTGGGTGTGGGTTGGGTGATGATACTCATGCTGTAGTATTCTAATATAGAATTAAATGCACATTCACTCAATCAATCACTCACTCACTCACTCAAATACTCACTCAGGCTGACACCCACATGCTAACTTGCACATTTATTTAGACAATCAGACAGAGAGACATATAAATAATCAACTCATCCGATAGATCAAAGTCGCATTTTAACGCCCTTTCCCTTCTCTCCCCAGCGAGCCTGTTGGTGGGCGGCGGGCGCGACCTGGACCTCGGGATGGACGAGGTGTGGGTGGCGGTGGAGGTGGAGGACCAGAACGACAACAGCCCCAGCATCCTTCCCCAGGGGCGGCCCGTCGTGGCGGCTGTCCCTGCCACGGCTGCGTACGGGCACTTCGTCACTAGGATCATGGTAATTGGTGTGGGGCTGTGCGCGGGAGGGGAGGTGTGTGTGTGTGTCTGTGTCTGTGGCAGTGTGCGCGCGTGGAAGGGAGGGGTGGGGGTGTGTGGGGGTTGTGTGTGTGTGTGTGTATGTGTGTCTGTGTGATTGTTGTTGTTGCGCCATTCGTACCTACTGTATTGAAACAATGCTTATTTTTTAAAAAGAGGGCATAATTTTTTATTTTTCTCCCAGACTCTACCTTACCAGTACACTAAACGAAAAGCAGTATTTTTTAAAAACCTGAAGTAGCTCATTCTCGCACATTCCTACAACCCCCATAAACAAATGCCGATCCCACAGGCTAGCGACCCAGACCAGGGCATCAACGGGGAACTGCGCTACGAGATTCTACCCGGCGAAGGGGCACAGGACGCCAGCACCAGGTTCGCCGTCGACCCCGTGTCAGGCCAGGTCAGTTATAGGCGATGTATTTGTGATAAAATGGACGGTGTATTGTGTGTGAATTTGTATTTGATTATATAGTGTTTTATGAAGGATGTTTTGTGTTTATAGTAAAATGTCTTATACTTATCATATATTCCAAATCATATAGTAAATCATAAAGAAAGGTAGTGGTGCGTATAATCCCAATACTTATCTAATCTAATAACAGGTGGTTGTAATCGGTTCCTTGGAGGACGAATCCGGTAAGATGTTTGGCTTCGACGTCCGTGTAAGCGATCAGGGCGGAGCTCCATCGGCTCGGTCGGCCATCGCGAACGTTTTCGTAAGTGGATTTCGAACCTGGATTTTGCTCATGCGATGCGAGCCAATCCTATGTTGATTTTTTTTTTTTTTTTTTTTTTTTTTTTTTTTTTTTTTTTTTTTTTTTTTTTTGTCTTGCTGTTCAATCCATTCTTAGATTAATGTATAATTGCACAATCCATTTTTCTCAAACTGACAGGAATCGATTATAAGAACAGAATATTCACGTATTCACGCTCAAAAGATTCCCCCTCATTTTGGTTCTGTTTACAAATAACCAATCGAATATTATAGCCATTTTTTTTGTCCTATAATATTCTTCCTAATAACTCAACTATCTTTTTTCTATCCCACTTTCTATCCCAGGTGCACGTCTTGGGAGCAGGAGGTCACCTGGTGCTGGAAGTGGCAGCAAAGCCACGAGAAGTAGAACCCCATCTCTACCACATCCAAGGGTAAGTGTTGGCTGACCGCCACGCCATCTTGGTACTTAGACCACGACGTTCTTGTTACTTAAATCGCAAAATTCTTAAGTCTTACGATTACGATATTCTTAGATTTACTATCGCAATATGTGTAGACTTACGATCAAAATATGCTTAGACTTACGATCACAACATTCTTAAGACTTACTAGAATTCAGAATTGAGTAACTTCTAAGACTCCCGAGTATCGCGGATGGCAAAATTGCGGGATTGAGAATATATGTTTATACCCATTCACTGTTCTTTTTTTTCCTTGACAAGTATTCATTATTCATCTCCACAGGATGCTGACCAACGTGTCTGGGCTGGATGTTCGCGTGCAGAGAATAGCGCCCCATGTTGACGGTGACGCGGCGCTTACTACGGCGTTAGTATAGTATTTTGGATTATTTATTTAAGAGAGAGAGAGAGAGAGAGAGAGAGAGAGAGAGAGAGAGAGAGAGAGAGAGAGATCACCTTTATGTTTGTATTTGTGTGTGCGTGTGTGTGTGCGCGTGTACGAAACAAAACCAATTCACAATATATTTACAACACACTTACCCTTCACATAAACTCTTACCCACAGGACAGACATGTACGTTTATGCAGTTGACCCGATCACTCAGTCTGTGGTCGACGCCAGCCACCTCCGCCAGGCGCTCAGGGTGAGGAAGAGTGAGCTGAAGTCCCTCCTTCCCGGTGGCGTCCATTTCAGGGGCATGAGGGTGCCTCTGCCTTCTCGCCAGGGACATGTGTTACAGGTGAGATCTGGATTTTTTGTATATACATATAGGTTATTTCTTTTCTTTGGTTTTAGTGTATATATGTATATACATTGTAACTGTTTAGTGTATACATATATATATTGCAATTGTATATACATATATACACTGTGATTCTTTAGAGTATATCTGTATGCATATGCATTGTAATTGTCTACTGTGTATTCATATAGTATATATTGTAACTGTTTAGTTTTATCATCTTTTGTTGATTTTATATTCTCGGTTGATATTTCAAAATATAAAATTCTGTTTATATATGACATGGAACTGAAATTATAGTATGGTGTTTTACAATTGATTTAGTTTTAAAGTTCAGCATTTGAAGAAGAAAAAAATTGTATGGTATTTCATTCTTTTCTCTCTTTAGACTGCGGAGTTGGCGATACTGATTGGCGCCGTGGTGGTGTTCCTCGTGACAGTTACGACGATCGTGTGTCTCTGTTACAAGCAAAGAAAGAGGTAAATGAAGGGTATTTGCAACGCTCCATAATGACTAGGACGTTGTTTACATTGCCTAACAATTGAAGATATATATTTTTTCACACACACACACACACACACACACACACACACACACACACACACACACACACACACACACACACCCTTCAGGCACCCTTCTAAAGCGTACCCTTCAACTCGTTGTCCTTTCCTCCAGCCGCCGCAAGCCCATGCCGATGCCGCCCATGATGACCGCCGCAGGGATCCCCGTGATGCCCCTGGCCTACCCCGGCCCCTTCGCCGCCCCCTACACCCACATGAGCGACCACAGCAGCTCGGAGTCCACAGAGGCCCAGGAGCTTCCCCACGACCATCCTCACTATCCTCATGACCTGGTCCACTACCCGCCTGACCCGGCTGGCTACCCGGTTGACCCAGCCGTCACGACCCACTTCCCTCAGGACCCCAGCCACTACCCACGCCCGCCGCCCAGACGTCGCTCCTGCGCCCACAGCTTCCAGGCAGATCGAGAGGTGAGGGCTAGTGGGGAGGGAGGTATTCTGTTTGATTTTATTTATTTAAGAGATTTATATCTCTTTTATATTAATTTACTTTTTGTGAAAGTGCTGTTGGCCACAATGATGATGGGAAATATTAGTTGATTAATTGGTTGGAAGTAGGAGAAAGAGAGGTTTTTATGAATAAATAGTTGTGGTTAGATACGTGTAGACTATATGATATAGCATGGTTCTAAATAAATTAGCAAATATTATCGTAGGAATGACTATTGGACATGAATAATAGTATAATCGTCCATTCCTGTTTTCCAGCTGTTGCACCCTTGTAGCAGCGGCGAGAGAGTGTCTTCCCACACCGACGAGGACGAGGGCAGCGGCCCGGTGTGTCTCCGCCACGCCCCCTCACGGAAGCGCCGCCGAGGCACCCAGCAGGGAGCAGAAGGCAGAGGAAGCGGGCCGAGCCACAAGAGCAGGAGCTCCTCGAGGGCGGGTCGAAGAGCGCTGGGGGAAGAGCCCTCGAGTTCGGACTTCGATGAGAGGGACCACGCGCCTCCCCTGGTCACCATCCCCAGGCCTCAACCCTGCTGCATGGAGGATAGGTAATGCTTGGCTTTTTCTCTGGGAGGACGCACATGAGGTGGAGAAAACGGATTCTATCCCCATATGTCCATCCGTTGTGAAATATCAAAGATCCCTTCACCTATGTTGCATTTGTAAATTTATGTTCTTTAAAACAATAGACATGTAAGCAATAAACCTTTCCTTTCATCTAACAGACAGAGACCAAACCCAAACAACCCACGAACATTACCGACCGTCGACTGCACGCTAGAGAACCCCGGCAGAGCCCACTCCCCCGACAGCCTAGAACGTCCCTCGCACTGCCGGGCTGCCGCTCACACACACACCATCCCCCGCACGCACCTCAAGAGGGAGAGGGGCTCGGAGCATGCAGGAGGGAGGAACTCTGATCTCCACCCGAGTGACGTGACAGAGCTTTGATGTTTTCGACTTTGGCGCTTGTGATGAAGACCTGTCTAGTAGCAAGGGGAATGTTTTGTGACTCGGGTGGTGTTCAGACTTGGGGGGGGGGGATATTTTCGGAAATATCACTGAAACCAAATTTCTAGATCAGTATGATTTTTTTTATTAATTGGTGATACTAATATATACTGTACATATATGGTAGATGGAGACTATGATAAGGCACATTGCTCAGATTAAAATTGGAAACACTCATATCTGTCAATAAATAAAAGGATAATGGACAATATAGTGAATTAAAGAAAACGATGCTGTTCACTTAGTTACTGTAAACCCATTCAATGACAGGTTTTCTCTTGTGTGTATGTTTTTTTTTCTATTTTCACTGCAATATCTTGATCCCAGTGATACTGTCTGTAAATCTAATAGATTGTAGTCAGTTCAGTTATTACATGTAAAAGGTTGTTTAAATTGATTACATAAGATCATATACACTATGATATAACATTGTGAATTGTGTTCTGTTTTGACAGCCTCCTGTATTTGTAAATGCATTACTATTTTATATTATAAGATGTACTGACCAGTTAAAATCTTTCGCAGCATAATGGTCAACAGTGTTTATACAACAATAGATTAAATATGGAGTTGTATGAAGAAGTTGCTATTAATAATTAAAACCCAGTTATATGTCTGCTTCATGAATAAAGAATATTTTGTAATTTCTAAATAACAGCCGTGGACAGTAAGATTGCCACTATTACCATTTAACTGCAAATCTAACATTAATGTAAAGTCACCACAACACAAGTTTATTCCAAGAAAGATACATTCTTTACCTGAAATAGCAGCATGTTGAGAAGTAGGGATGGTGATCATAATTTATTTGACCATACACTTTTTTCTCATTTATAACTGGATGTGGTTTTATACTCAAGTTTTCTTCCTCTATACTTGGCCAAATATTTGTATATTGTAGATAGTAGGTATGTTTGATACGACAGAGAGGAAATAGGGGATAGCTTTGGTGATACAAGAGAGGCTATCAATTTAACACTGTTTTTTCAAGTGGACACAAAAGATAATTCTTTATTTTAAGTAATGATTTTCCGTCTTCTTGACTGAAAGAAAGAACACTCAAATATGTCACAAATTAGCTATGGATATATTCTTATAAGAAACTATTTTGATACAAGTGAGTTGTCTTTTGTAAAGCATTTGTATAATTTTCTTAATTCATAAACTAATCTGTGGTTTATTCTAAGTGCATACTGGGACATTATAGGTTATCATGGTGAATGTTATGCTTTATAGATATTTTAAAATGCCAAGTGTGCCATGAACTGTGTAGAGGCATAGATAATCACACATGAATAGCATGCATACTTGGATCTATAGTGTTCCATGGCTGTGTATGTATTATTTGTGCTTGACTGGGTGCTTGCATCTAGGGTTATGGGTCAGCTGGGATTATTATGTTTCTAATCACCCTTTAAATGCCTAATTATAAGAGGTGAAAATTTGCTCTAATGCACTGAAGTGAGTTGTGTGTGTGTGTTACATACATAAACAATTATGTATGGCTGTGTTTTGCCTGTATGTATTCAAGGCCTTTCCTTGAAAGATGAAAATACCATTGTTATAATGTACAGTATTTTGTAGTTAGAGCTTTGTGAAATGTTTAAGCAGGCAACTGAAGATATAGATATATATATATGTATGATAAGTTCCACAGGTTGATGGTATAAAACAAATGCTTTGTTTGAATCATCTTTTGATACTCTTGCTGGTGAACTCACGGTATATGAATGCTCCTGTCAAACCATAGTATTTTTGTACTGTGTTGTTCATTATGTTTCATAGGGAGTAACACATACAACTAATGTGACCAAAGAATATTTCTTATATTACTGTATTTTTTTCCAACTAGACTCTGCAGAGAAATGTCTTCTGTAAAGTTTATATAATGTTCTTCAACACTATTATTGTATGCAATAGAAAATTTAGCAGGCAGTAATAGTGTTTTGGTATATCAGTCTCACTGTATTTTAATATTTCATATAGAAAAGGCGTAAGGTGAGAAACAATAAGATACATAGTTTGCTTTGATTTATAACTTCATAAGAATGTCATGGAATTCTGATGAAGATTTAAATCTAAATGTCAAATATCCTTCCATCTTTATGAACTCACTCATTCTCACATACTCTTTGATTTGTCACAAGATTACCATTTCATATATTTTTTTTCTATCTTTCTCCTTCCTTTATTCTTCTCTTTTTCATTTTCCTTCTTTTTTTTTTATAGAAAAGAGGATGACATGTTCTATACATTGCCTGTACTTGTGTATCTCAGACAAAGAATATAACAACGAGGATATCGTGGAAGTTTAGCAGTCAGCCTTCCCTTATTAAACATGTACTAAGGATACTTTTGTAAGCTCATATACAACGATTTTGTACCTGTACATACTTTTAATATAAATATTTGAATACAACTGAGTTTCGTTTGAAAATGTCCTCATTACTGTAAACATATGCCATTTCCAGGATTATTCCATGTAATAATACTTGAGCTTGCTAATAGTAAGGAATTCTAGTAGTCACTGTATTTGCTTATTTTCCTATCATGCATTTACAATATTATAATGTACCAATCTTCTGTTAAAAGTGACATAGCAAGTTTTCAATCACTATATTCATATTCACAAAATACTTATACTTGTCCTACTGTACATCAGCCATCATTTTCAAGTTCCATGACTAAACCTTACCTAACACGCATATTTATATATATTTTTTTTTTGTTTTTGTTTTTGTTTGTTTCAGCTTACAGTCAAGCCTCTAGGATAAATATGCCTGATCTTCAACAGTTCTCTTATGAAAATGAAAGAAAAAAATCAAGAATATGTTTATTTCATATATCATGACATTAACACAATTTAGTTCAAAACAAAAATAATAATAAAAGAATTCTTAAAAATGAATAGAAACAAGCAACATATTAATTCAAGTTAATACATCACTTGCATCTAGCGTATGGCTCTTAAAAATGTATATAAACAAGGAACATATTAATTCAAGTTAATATCTCATTTGCATCTGCTGCATGGCTGTCTGTAAACAATACTAAAAACCACATCTCAATAATGAAACTCTAAAAATATTAGAAAATGTTTTTCACAATTGAAAATACACGTCTTTATAAAAAGAAAAAAAAAAAAAAAAAAAAAATCTTAACTATCTTCTACCCCTATATCTACCTCTGTCTGGACTTCTGTTGTGGCTGCCGTACCTACCATCCCTATTGCCCCCTCCTCCTCTTCCCCAGTCCTCCCCCTGCCTGTAGCCGCCCCTCCCGTCCTGCCTGTGATCCCTCTCCCTTCTCTCCCTATCATCCCTCTCCATTCTGTGTCTGTTATATTCTCTGTCTCGGTTGTCCCTGCTATCCCTCGCGTCTCTATATCTCTCCGGGCCTCTGTCTCTCTCACGGTACCTGTCCCTATCGCTGTCGGGTCTCACATGTTCGTACTTTTCGTAGCCTGGGTCCCTCTTTTCCTCCTTCACTTTAAAGGTCCCGTTGCCATACTCCTCCCTCCTTGCCCTGTTCGTCTTCCTCTCTCTTTCCGAGTCTCCGCTGTCGCTCCCTGATTCTGATTCGTCTCTGCTTCTCTTCTTTTTCTTCTTCTTTCTCTTTTTCCTGTAGCTGTCATCGTCACTGTCGCTATCTGAGGATGATGAACTGTTTGATTCTGATGGCGATGACGAGGATGAAGATGATCGCCTCTTTTTCTTTTTCTTTTTCTTGTCTTTCTTCTTCTTCTCCTTTTTGACCTTCCTGTCTGTTTTTTCTTTCTTGATTTTTTCTGTTTAATAAAAAAAATGAAAGCCAAAAGGTAATTAAGCAAGAATTCTTTAAAAATATGTTGATATAATTTCAACAGACTTTCCAGCAATTACAAAAACCCAACAATAATATGATTCGTAACAATTATGAATGTATGAGAATAAATGACACTCTAAAAATTTGTCACCCTCCATTACAGCAAAAAAGAAAAGAAAAGAAAAGAAAAGAAAAGAAAAAAGAAAAGAAAAGAAAAAAGAAAAGAAAAAGGCAGAAAGAAAGATAAAAGCACTAATAAAAAAACTCAGTTTACCTATAGCATCAAGAATCGATTCTAAACATAGGATCCACTTGGAACATTTACAAAACCTCCAACCCCTAACCCCATTCACCTCACTTTCAATCGTAAAACTTCACCATCCCATTAGAACCACTCACCTGGAGGTATCACCATCAGTTCCTCTTCTTCCTCCTGCTCCTCCACAGGAATGAGTTTTGGGGCACAGCCTTCTATCAGCAACTTCTGCTGTTCCTCGGACATGTCCTCCCTCATCTTGGGCACCTTGTACTCCTCCACATGGTCGACCCTGATGATGCGGCCGACTAGCTGAAGTTGCAATGAGGAAAGGAAGTGTGAGAGAGAAATTTATTTAATCTTTTATTTATATCTATTTTCTTCTCAAAGGAACTTAACCCATTTGCGCCGGATGTCACGTATAAGTGACATACCCACTGTGAGTTTATTTGTTTAATTGCTTTTACACATAGATGGCTACACTTGTACTTGTACTGCCTGTCTCGCCAGTTTACAATTTTCTTTAATTTTATGAAAACATTTTACGTTATCATATTTTGCTGCTACTAATGTTTATAATATTATAGTAATTATAATGTTTATAATAAAAATAACCATTGATATTCATAGCACTAGTAAAAATACATGTTCCTGCCAATTCAAGTAAAGATGAAATCAGGTAAGGCAGAGCCATCTAGTGTAGAGACATTTCACAAAAAATATAAAAAATGAGCTCAGCATTTTCCCCATACTTTATTCATTTTTACCCGTCGTGAATGGATTAACTGTAGGTAAATGTAATGACAATAATGATTTTTGTAAGGGGTGGGGGGTACAGGCCTCTAATTTGGTAGGGAAGTGGGTAAATTTCTTCACATATTTGCCAAATATGGGAAGAAAACAGCATCCTAAACATTTCCCTTGGTACCTAGGTATGTCACTAGCTTCAGACTACTACCTCAAAACATATAAATATCTACATATTATACTATTCTACAGACTTACCTTTATACCATTTAGGTTGTCAACAGCCAGAATGGTTGAGCGTTGATCTTCGTAACACAAAAAAGCAAAGCCCTTACTCTTTCCCGTCTTTTTGTCTCGCACCAGATTAATACTAACAATCTGAAAAACAACAATATATAAAAGCAACACCCAGTAGGCCTACTAATATAAATAAAGCTGACTGGCCGACTGTATCTTTAAAGATTATTATACAGTGGTGCAACTCAGCAAACATTTTGAGAAAAAGATCAGATTCATAAGATATAATAAACTTATATGACATATATTCAAATCTCCAAAGATACCAATATTTTTTTCTCTCTCCCTTCTCCTTCTACAACACATAAAGAAAGAAACAATGACCTCACCTCTCCATACTGAGAGAAGACACAGACTATATCTCCTTCAGTGAGTTCGTAATTAAGCCCTCCGAGGAATACCCAAGCGCTGTCTCGGTACTGCTGATGCCATGACTGCTTGATGTTGACACCCAGCTCTAGCTCACGCTGGCTCAGTTTCTGGATGTTCTTCACGTTCCTTAAATGCAAAAGATCTTATTAACCCATTGCCGCCGGGGAAAATGAACAAAAAATGGGGATAATGCTGTGCCTATTTTCTATACTTTTTTGTTAAATGTCTGCCGATAGATGGCTCTGTTAGCGCCTGATTTGAAATGGCAGGAAAAACGTATTTTTCACTAGTGCCATGAATATCGATGGTGTTATTTTTATCATAAACATTATAATTATTATAATGTTTTTTAACAATAGTAACAGCAAAATAAGATAACGTAAAATATTTCGAAAATCAAAGAAAAGGGTAAACGGGCGAGACAGGCGGTACTCCTAACTGGCTCATTGGTGATTTAGTACAAGTGTAGCCATCTATGTGTGAAAACAATCTAACAAGTAATCTCACAGTGGGCATGGCATGGCATGCCCGTCGGGAATGGGTTAAGTGTTTCATAAATCCATATTTCTATAAATCTTTTTTTATTTATTCTAGCTATCACAGATTATTTGTAGATTCTCTGCTTCTGACATTCAGTTTACCAATAAGACAGGAGTCAGTAAGAAACAGTAACTACAAATGTTAATGTGTCGATATGAATGACAGCCCAACAAAGGACTATTAATGAAGTTCCATCATCTGACAAAGTTCAATCCATGACTAAGCCCTAACTAGAAACCAATATAACAGGAGATATACCAAGCAAGTCATAGTTTATTACTCTGTTATATTCTAATTGTTTCTGTTTAGTTTATATTTCCTAGAACAACAACGACTGGGTTTCCTCTCAAAAAAACAATGTCCCAGACTTCAACCAGAAAGAAATACAATCTTAACATTTCCCAAACATCCTTCTAAACGCAATACAATTCCCAAAAAACACACATAACCACACACACAAAAAAACCCTAATCACAAAATACTCGAAACCCAATACCTTCCCCTTCCTCATCATCATCTCACACCCCACCAAACCTTCCAAAAAACCCCTCATTAAACCACTTACGTCAAGGGATTCATCGTGACTTGCTCTCCGGAATCTCCCTCACGCCATAAAACCTCCGGAAATCAGCCTCGAGTCGGAATTTCCTTCAGAAAAACGACATAAAGTAAACGTTTTCGAAGCCGACCCTCACGGCGTTTGATGTGGGCGCTTACACTGCGAAACCGGGTTACTCTAATTGCCGACGGGCTGCCGACGGGCCATGAATTAATGCCGACAGGCCATGAATTAATGATTCATTATAAGTTATTTTCATATTTTAAGGTGGAAATAAAGGTTTGGGCACTTCTGCCTAAATAAATAATATAATGGGGATATTATTATTATAGATAAAGGACTGTGACCCAGAAAAGTATACATTTGGCGGAAAGTGCTGGTCAATGGATTTCAATAAAACTTTGGAGATCTGCAAAGTACTCCTACGGTGGCGTTTTGTATGTTTTCTGATATTTATACTGCCCCGTCGGGGACATCAGATTAAGCCCTCAGACGTCGCTATATCGGGGCTAGACCATCAGGTACTAAGGCAAAATTATCATTCACCCTGCATTCACCTTATCCAATCAAACGAGGTTTCCATAGAAACCCCATGTTGTTATAATAAAATCCCAGAAACGGCCACTCTACAAAGCCAAATGGTGGAGGAGTGATATTCAAATATGTAGTCTCCTCTTAGCTCAAAAATTGGCAGAATGCTGCCATGAAATAATTTAAAATTTTGGAATTTCACTTTTTAACAATTCGCACACTCCATGGTCATTAAAGACCGTGCACTATGTACACCGTGCACGGACAGGCAGATTTTATTTATGTTAACACTTCCAGTAGGGCTCACCTCACCTTGCCCTCACATCACCTTGCCAACATAGTATTTTTACCCCGCAGGGTGCTTAAGTTTTGCAATATTTTATCTTTAGAAGCATCCACAAATGGCAGTGAAATGAAACTTTGTATTGAGGGTGGACAAGAGTTAACTCCAACAGAGTCGCAGTCAAAGAGGAGTGGTCTACCGGTACTCTAATCATGCAGAGAACCCTACGTACAGTTTACGCTACTAGGCTACAAATTAGGCCGTCGGTGCCCGTCCATGGCCCGGCGGCAATCAGAGATACCGCTGCGAAACCTCGGGCTCGGGGAAGGATTTACTATTAATATTATTATCATTATTATCATGGCTATTATTATTATTATTATTATTATTATTATAATTATTATTATTATTATTATTATTATTATTATTATTATTATTATTATTATTATTATTATCATTATCATTGTTAGTAGTAGTAGTAGTAGTAGTAGTAGTAGTAGTAGTAGTAGTAGTAGTAGTATTGTTGTTGTAGTTGTTGTTGTTATTATTATTATTATCATTATTATTATTATTGTTGTTATTTCTTGTATTTTGTGTTTTGTTTGGTAAGTCTGATTTAATGAATATAATTGATTTATTGAGCTAATTTTTCTTCTTTTTTTGTGTGTGATTTTTTAATGTTTGTTTTTAATGTTTTTGTGTTTATCCTTTCTTGTATTCTGCGCTTTATTTGATAAGCTTGATTTAGTAGATATAATCAATTTGCTGAATTGTATTTTTTATGTGTATATGTATGCTATATAATGTACTAATGGGTTTAATTTGTAGAGTATATTAACAGTAGAAGAGGACACTACTTGACTTGATATTCCTTATATAAAATTATTTGTTTTACTTATTTGTGTAATATATCAAAATGAGATACTTTTACAATAAATACTTCCTTTACAATAAATAACTTTTAGAATAAATAAATATAGCTTTTGTGTCAAATTTATCAGAATCAAAATGTGGCTGTAATCAAGAACGCAATGTAGAGTCAATTAAACTATTTTAGTTCGAAATAAATGCATTTTGATTGTGTTCCGTTGATAATATGAGCTTAAAACGGCGAGAAAAATTATAGATTAATATAGATAAAAATTATATATTTAAATAAATTCCATAAGAACTCCTGAAATATTTCCGGGCATGAAAGTCATCGTTGGGGGATACATTCCGGGTTATGTAGATGTGTTGAAAATTATAAATGTGACCAAAAAAGCCATTATTAGTTTTGATAAGCATATAATCATTTACAATAATCCAATAATTATAAAATACGACCCTAACCACAATAACTGAAGCAAACCACAAATATAAATCTCCAAATCGCAACCTGGAACTAGACCGCCCGAAACTCCAAGGCCCAAGAGGAAGAAGGAAAAGAATCGGAAAAAATCCCTCAAAATGCTGATCAAAGTGAAGGTAATTCTAGTATTTAGAGACATTAAGACATCAATTTAAAGGATTTTCGTCTTATATTCCAGAGGCAGAGGTTTAAGAGCGAGATATTGGCTGGTATAAAGCGCGTGGAGGCGAAAGGAGAGGCGAGTGTCTTCCTCGGGTCGGGAGGTTGACAGAAGGTTTTGATTTTTTTCCTTCATTAAATTACTCGTTTATTTTGATGGTGTGAGACTTTTTTTGATCAGTTAACGAAAGCTGATGAGAATTGTTCTTATTATTCTTTATGTTGTCTCTTATGATGTGTTTTTTTTTATTGTGTAATGGTCGTGGAAATATAATCCCTTATCTGGTCTCGGCTTGTTATTGTCTCGAATAATTCATGTAATACAGGCTTCCCAATTATGGCATTAGATATTTTTGGGAACGCTACTTTTGTGTTTAGAGATGGAAGTAAATATACGTTCTTAGCAAAGTCGAGTTCAGTACAATTGTGTAATTAATCCGCCGTGCCAGTTGGGTGATGTACATGTCTTAGTGAATTGCATGTTTGTGCAGGAGAATTATGACTGGTTCCTTTTTTGAAGGTAGAGCATAAAGGAGGTTGTTGAGCCCTGCCTTTGATACGTGGTAAAGACTTGCCTTTACTGTTGGTAATCAGGCATTAGGCTTATGGGAGTGGCTGCTCTGCCGGATGGATGCATGTAGGCTGGGCACATGCAAACTCGTGTGCGTGCTGGCAAGTCTCTGTGCTTCTAATTTGCAAAGTTGGTAAATGTTTATAAGAGGACCGCACCCGTCGAACACCAAGTCCCGAACTCCAGCCAACAATCTTGGGGGATTCCGTGGGGAACCGGAGGTTTTGAGGGAGGGGGGGTTGAATATCGAGGAGAACGCTAATAATAAAGTACCATGAAGTGGAAAATAATAAAAACCTAACCTAGCCTAGCCTAGCCTAACCTAACCCGATCGCCGTATTTCCCTATCAGTGGCTCCGCCCCCAGACCCCCTCCCGATCGCCATATTTCCCTATCAGGGGCTCTGCCCCCAGACCCCCTCCCGATCGCCATATTCCCTATCAGTGGCTCCACCCCCAGACCCCCTCCTGATCGCCATATTCCCTATCAGTGGCTCCGCCCCCAGACCCCCTCCCGATCGCCATATTCCCTATCAGGGGCTCTGCCCCCAGACCCCCTCCCGAATGCCATATTTCCCTATCAATGGCTCCACCCCCAGACCCCCTCCCGATCGCCATATTCCTTATCAGTGGCTCCGCCCCCAGACCCCCTCCCGATTGTCATATTCCCTATCAGTGGCTCTGCCCCCAGACCCCCTCCTGATCACCATATTCACTATCAGTGGCTCCGCCCCCAGACCCCCTCCTGATCGCCATATTTCCCTATCAGGGGCTCTGCCCCCAGACCCCCTCCCGAATGCCATATTTCCCTATCAATGGCTCCACCCCCAGACCCCCTCCCGATCGCCATATTCCTTATCAGTGGCTCCGCCCCCAGACCCCCTCCCGATCGCCATATTTCCCTATCAGGGGCTCTGCCCCCAGACCCCCTCCCGAATGCCATATTTCCCTATCAATGGCTCCACCCCCAGACCCCCTCCCGATCGCCATATTTCCCTATCAGTGGCTCCGCCCCCAGAACCCTTTCCAATTGCCGTATTTCCCTATCAGTGGCTCCACCCCCAGACCCCCTCCCGATCGCCATATTTCCCTATCAGTGGCTCCACCCCCGGACCCCCACCCGATCGCCATATTTCCCTATCAGGGGCTCTGCCCCCAGACCCCCTCCCAATCTCCGTATTTCCCTACCAGGGGCTCCACCCCTAGACCCCCACTGGAACGTCATATTTCCCTATTGGGGGCTCTGCCCCCAGACCCCTCCCGATCGCCATATTTCCCTATCAGGGGCTCCGCCCCCGGACCCTTACCCAATCGCCATATTTCCCTATCAGGGACTCTGCAAATTAATTTTGATATCAGTCAATGTAGTTTTGCATTGCCTACAACACTATGATCTTAAATTTTCTCCTAGTTGGTTTTGTATACTTTAACCGCAAAGTTATTTACTCTTTGGTTTTTGGCCACTTTCCAATGTAAATTGTAATATATTTTTTTTTTCTTGCACAGACTCCCATTATATCTCAAGGTAGTCGACAACTTGGTGCAAACTGTGTAACACTATTACTTTTGTCATTTTAAAAATTTTATTTAATATTCAATTTTCTATAAATCTGTGTCACCACTCACGGCCCCAAGAATACGATGCTGAGCATGGAAATGGCGTCCTCCATGGCGGAAATGCTCTTCCAGTCACAGCTCACGGACATTTCACTCACACTCATGCATCGAAGGAAATAATACAAAATTGCCAAATGAGAAAAATAAACCTCCCAATAGGATTGTGCACTTGTTGTGAGTCTTTTCTATCAACCTGGCCTTTAGTCGCAGCAGTCACAATGGCAGGTTCACATCACCTCAGCCTACAGCCAGATTTTCCCATGACAGCATGTTCATGTCACCAGCCCCTCAAGCTGGATTCATTCATATGATAATCACGTCACCTAGGTCCAAAGGGTGCATAGATCCATGGCATTTGATGAATCACTGCAGGCCTACATTTTCTTAGCGCAGTTACCTTTTTATTTGTAGTGGTACTGTATTGTGTTTTGTATGATTTTTTTCCTTTTCTTTTCTCCTCTTTTCCTCTTCTTCTTCTTCATCTTCTTCTTTTTCTTCTTCATCTGTGTCCTATTCAGGATAATTCCCACTTTTCTGTCTGTTCTGCTCTGTCTTTCTACATCAAGTCTTAGTTAATCTTAAGGGTATGGACACACTAAGCTACTGAAATTCGAAGATGATATTCTTGTAAAGGATGAAAAGTTGCAGTCATTGGTACAAGAAATAATCTGCAGAAACAGACAGGAAATAGATCACAAAATGTGCTGCTCACAGCCTAAGTCCACTCAGTGCCAGAGTTTCAACTCCTCATGTATACTGAGGTGAAAACAATCCATCAACCTTCCCCTTAAGCAATGACTGAAGGGCACACATAGTCATGGCAACTTACATTGTTGTATAGATTTTGTGACATGGAGTTGGGGGCTTAGTTTCTAGTGTATATATACCATAAAGAATTATCCAAAAAGTTGTCTTCAGTACAACATATAATCTGCATGCCCAAATAGTAATACCACAAACGAAGGAAATAAAAGCCAGAAAGCTCAAAGCCTAAATCCATTTGTTGCTCCCAAGTTTCAGCTCTGTCTTGCCCCCAATCAACCCTCCCCTCAGGCTTTGGGCATGGCCAGTCGTGGCAACTTAAATTGCTGAAAAAAATTGTGATGTTGAGTTTGGGACTTAGTCTCTAGCGAGTGCATCCATTTTGTAAGACCTACTGAAATGTCTTCTGTTATTTCTTTGGGGTCTTTGGGGTAAAAAATTGTTAATGTTGGTACTTTTTTATGAAAAACACCAGGATGGTCTTTTGCTGGAAAGCCAATCTTGTGTGTTCTTTAAGGACATTACCACAGTGAAGAATAGGTAATGGCCTACAATAAATTTGCATCAAGTAGACCTCTTAGCCTTTGTTTAAGCAGTCACATTAAAACCTGTCATACTGGCAATTTTTTCCATCAAGTTTTGTGTTTTCATTTGAATTTTGTGTAAGCAATCCCCCCAAACCCCCCACTCATGTTGTTGCTGTGGGGGGCTTAGAAGATAGCCTAATTTTGGAGATCTACCCACCTTGGGCCTCAGCCCTTAGCTCAACCAATTCTGCAAAGTCTTTTCTCTTCCTGATTTCCTTTCCATCATGCATATTCTGGGAAGACTGAGCGTGTAGACCTTAGGTGGAAGTGGCAGTTATTGAGCTGAATCTCTATTAAATGCAGTCTTAAGTTTAAAAATTACCTTTCCCAAAGTTTTGAAGTTGATTTTGTTTGTGAGAATAGGTATAAATGTCACAGGTTGTTACAAATTAATTAAATTAAAAAGTAACTTAATTCCTTACTCCAGAAATAATGGACTGAATACAGAAATCAACTTTTTTTTCACTGTTGGACAGTAGGTTATTCTACTGCTTGAACCCATTTTTCTCACTTTTAATTTGGTAAATATGACTACGTACCACCCATGGCATTTCTTTTAAAAGCACTGCAAAATGGCTATGATCTGTAAATGTTGATCCCCAGTATTGGTACTTTATCAAGCAAATGCAATATTCTCTACATTTTAGTGCAGGCACAGGCCAGAAACCTCTGCCATTATGTTAAGGTTAGATACAGCTTGTTTTGGTTATTTATTTGACAATAACTTGCCAGGGAGGTCTACAAGCTCTGTTCCAAAATATGCATGGTCAAGGTTTTGACCTTTGGCAGAGTGCCAAAGACATTTACAACAGTCTTTTTCAAATTTTAAACTACTTAAACTAAAACTAAAATAATATACAAGGGGAGTGGGAGTAGCACGGTTTCATACCCAGCGAGCGTGACCTAAGTTCGAGGTCCAGTCAGGGAGGGTTGTTATATATCTATATCAATGCACCATTGCATTATTCCATCTCTTTGACATAAACAAATATAAAGAGACACAACGATACAGAGAGAGAAAAGTAAAAGGAGAAGCAGGGCGAGGGAGGGTAGTGGAATTAATTCATGGTGACTGAGCATGAGCACTGTGCTTTAATATGAGAACGAAATAAGAGCTCTGGCAGACCTGGACAAATGTCATGGTTTGTAAACAACTTCCTCTGTAGTTGCGTAATTACTCTTAGTAAAGGTCTGAAGTGTGTGTTGCTAAAGGCTATCATATCTTCAAATGTTTATTATATCCATCAGTATTTTACAAACCATGGGGGATAAGTATTATGTGATATTTAACTGTACTGTTTTTCTCACTAATTCTTTTTTTCTTTTATTTCAGACCCTGACTGGAAAGGAGGTTCGTATCCATGTGATGCTTAACCCATTCGCCACGGATTTATGTTCTGTCCTCTGTAGTTTTTGGTGAATTTTGTTACATACAGATGGCTCCACATGTGCTCAGTCGGCAAGGAGTCTATCAGTAGGCCCTAGTTACCGACTCTGATTCTCCCATTCATTGAATTGGTGGGAAAAATAATATCCTTGCTTTCAATACTGTTATTATTGTCATTGATGTTATGATTATTGAATTGTCATTAGAATATTTTTGACAATGAAATTATACAAAAAAAAAAGTTTCCTAAAGTGAAGGAAAAGGGTAAACAGGTGAAGTAGGTAGTTCTTGATAACTGGCTATTTGGTGATTAAGAACTTGTAGAGCCATCTATGTGTAAATACAATAAATAAACGTGTAACAAAGTGGGTATGGCATCTATTCTTGCCACATGTGGCAAATGGGTTAAGCAAGGTTCTTCACAGTACTCATGTCTCGTTCAGATTTTTAAAAGATATTCCGTAATGAAATAAGACCAGTCTATAATTTAACAAGTACATGCAATTCTTTAATTTTCCTTAATTTGCTTTGAAAACACACCTCTACATTTTATATAATTACCAAGTATAAAAGATGCTGCATAACTGAAATACACTTGTAAAAGTCTATAGACATCATATATATATATATATATATATATATATATATATATATATATATATATATATATATATATATATATATATATATATATATATAATTTTTTTTTTCATTCTTTCATTTTCTTTTAAAGATTGAGATTGACATTGAGCCGACAGACAAGGTAGAGCGAATCAAGGAGAGAGTGGAAGAGAAGGAGGGCATCCCCCCACCCCAGCAGCGACTCATTTTCTCTGGAAAGCAGATGTAAGGCGTAATTTTATTTGTAATATAATGGAACGTAAAGGAGTGATAAACATTATTTTAGGGGAATCCATAAGGTCTGGCTTATTTTCTTTCTTATTGAGACCTGTGCAGATTATTATTATTATTATTATTATTATTATTTTTATTTTTTTATTATTATTATTTTTTTTTAGATTTATTCTCATGTTTTGTTTCTGCTGTTATAGCCATTATTATTGTTTTGGGTGGAAGTTCAGTAAAACCAAGCTATGTGATATATAAGAAACAATTATTTTTCAAATGAAATGATCTAGCCAATATTTTTCATTGAATTTAAATGGAATGTAGATTTGGAGGGAGGGGGGGGAAGGCATATTCTTTTTATTTTGTGACTTTGGTTCTGTACTTCACGAACACTAACAGTCTCTTCAGTGTTACTCAGATATGTCACACCTATAGAATATAGTCTATATATTTTCTACTACGTACACTCATTAAAAGAAATATCTTTACTCGGGAGTACATGAAACTGAAACAATCACTTAGAGTTGATTCGGAAATATTGGTACTTGTTTTCAAAGCTTGGAACAGATGAAGCTTCATAATGATTTTGAATAGTGTTTGAGTTGATATGGCTCGGGCCTCGTATCATGCCAATATTAGCAATGGAGACCTCGTAGACCATTTGTATCGCCATAATTACGCTTTACTCTGAGGGACTATCAAGAGGTGAAATACCCATATTAGATATTTCGAAGCCAACTGTGTGTCTGGGGATCTGGCAACACCAAATAACTGGATATCATCCCTATCCACATGAGCAGTGTCTTGAAGGCATCATTTCAGCAACACCCCAAGATTACACTGTGCCACATCCACCCAAATTGCTAGATCTCAGTTTCATTGAGAATTAACAGCAGCTTTAGTGGCATCTATACCACTAGACTTGCCAGCGTTTGCCAAGCTGGTGGCAGTAACATGAAATATTAAGTATTATACATTTCAAATCCCTAAATTTTTTAAATGTATCTGAGTGAAATAAACAAAAATTTAGAAAATTGTTCTTGGGGTATGTGAAGCTATAACTGGATCTATACAGGTGTAATTAGTAAAAAAGAAAAAAAAAAAATTATGGCTTTTTGTGGGACAACTGCCCCCCTACCCTGCAACCTCTCTTCCAAGTAATACCCTTGTCAAGGATACCAATATTAGGTCAAGCTTATGGCACTTTTTCCAACAGTTTTCATCATTATATCATATTGTTAAATCAGAAAAAGATCCTTTTTTCAATGACTACATGGAAGCATGGTCACTTGTGATAGGAATTAAACAGTGTGACAAGATTAGAGTCTAGACTGTAGGATGTTGTGGAAACTTTATCCCCCTGTGAAAACTCCTTAAGACAATGATGCATTGCTGTTCATTTCAGGAAATATAATTGTTAGTAATTCTTGGGATAAATCCATTAGTGCAAATATTTTTATCATTAAATTCTTCCAATCTCTGCTTTCTTTTACATTGTTTTCTGTTGGTGATCTGACTTTCTGTTTACCTTTGGATTGATTGTTATGAAATCTTTAACTTTATTTTTTATTTCAGATTGTTTTTAATTTTCTTTCCTTTACTTTATTTTATTCCCCCTCCCCCCCCTGTCTTAAGTATCACTACAGAAGATATTTGTGTGAAAGGGAATAGAAAAACTCTATTTGTATTAGTCATATCCCTTTGAGATTTCTGAATCAAGCGGAACTTTTCATCCTCTTCAGGAATGACGAGAAGACGGCAGCAGACTACAAAGTCCAGGGTGGCTCTGTGCTCCATTTAGTGTTGGCTCTGCGAGGTGGATGCCCCCAGTGCTAGGATGACTGTGATTTTAGGAGAACCCCTTCTCACCCTCTCGTTTGCCAGAGTAAGGAGAAGTATGTTAGCTCTGCCAGGGACAAGATCTCGGTCAGAACTGAATGTGATCGACAGAGAGTTGTGGTAGCTGAAGCCAGTTTGATTAGCAAGTGGGAAAGCCTGACTAGGTCTCTCTCTTTCTTTCTTTCTTTCTTTCTTTCTTTCTTTCTTTCTCTCTCCCTCTCTTTCTCAGTCTCCTTTTTTTCAAACTGCAGCTTAAGAAAATGTAGGATCCTAATACCACTTTCGACAATGTCACTTGGGCATTACAGCTTGCTAAAGAAAATTGGTGTTTCAAAGTGGAAATTATTTTATATAAATACTTGCTATACACCAACAAGTAAACTCACCAGTGTTAGTACTGAATATTAAACCAATTGAACCTTAAATTTAAATATTTTACTGTTTTTATTATATATAATTGTCAGAACCAATGGACAACTCATTTAATTCAACTTCATATTCTATGCATATTAATGAACTTATTGTCAATGGATAGATTTTATAGTTATACATACATGCTTTGTAATCATTAGATTTTGTAAGATCCAAGTCTCATGCTTCACAGTTCAGTTTAGACCTTGGTAGGTATAATATATTTTCAGCCATGTGAAACATACTCCATCATCAGTGGTTGAAATAAGCATTAGTCACTTTGCTTCTTTTCCCATTTCCTTTTCCCGTCCCTTTTGCAGTGTGCTTATCTGGAGTTACTGTTGTTCGCAGTTGACAAAGAGAACAGTTGCAACCACTTTACTTGAAGATCGAAAAAAGTAAATGGATTTCAGTAATTTTATTTATTCTGTCAGTTACATTTCATTTAATCCCATCTGAAGAGTTGTACTCAGTGAGTTTTCAATTGATGTTCAGTGTGTATGTCTTCTAATATGTTAAGATAGTCAGGAATACAATTTTTTTCTAAAGATATTGTTTTCTTAACCTTTGATTACTGTGCAAGGAGGTTTGAGTAATCTTGAGAAATTAGGAGCTGTAGTTGTGTCAGTAATTTTTCCTAAAGGATTATGTTACTAAAAGGCAGGCAATTGGTGATCTGTTCATAATTATTTTAAAGGATTTTGATTCTAGAGAGGAAAGAAGAAATAGATGGAAGTTGTCTTGATACAAAGTTTCAGCCACAGACTTTCACTTAACAGAATATTAGAATGTTATTGGATACAGAAAATGACTGCTTAACTATTAAGATATTACTGGATATTTTTTCTGAGACACACTACATTTAAACTAATGAATATCCTTTTTTTATGGGTTACCCACCAATGTAATAATAAGAAAAAAATACGGAAAATAAAACAAGTGCTCTTATAAAAGTGTGTAGGAAAAGTATAGCCATGAGGTCATTGTTTACACTGGTATCAACTGTGTTAAAGTGATGGAGTAGTGGCATTAAGGAACCTTAAATCCTCCACTATTAGAAATGGCAGATAGTTTTTTATTCCCTCCTCCATGTAACATTGACTGCACATTCATTGTCACAGGATTGAATATTAGGGCATGAGAGCAATATGTTGTATGCTCAGATCAAAATGATCATTGCCTTTTATGATGTATGTTGAAAGTATGTGCTCAGGACCCATAATTTATTGTGCACTTCTTAGTTTATGTTGAGATTATATTTGGTTGCTGATAGTAAATTCTTTGTCATTATACGAATTAAGAAATGTTGGTTACATGTAATTGATTTTAAAAGTTGGTTTAACAAACTTAGAACTTAAACAATGAAGTAGCAAATTTTATTGTTGTTGCATTACATTAAGGTAATTTAATGCTAATTAATGTTGGATGGAGTGGTTCTGAGAGAGGTCAAAGTTATTTGTGATTTGTTGGAAATTATATAACTGTCCCTTCAATTTGATTAGACTAAGACATAAAAAGTAATTCATGCTGTTCATTTAATCCATGATCTGATTCAATCTTGCATTTGTGTCTAAACATTTTGCATCACAGGTATACAAAATAGATAAACACTATGAAATGTATGTTGATTACTGTACAGACACAATCTTGGAAGGAAGCAGATAAATTGCCACCCCATTAGAGGTGTTCATCTGTTTCATATTGCTTGTGTGGCAAGGTGTGTAGGCACCTGCACACAGGGTCAGATCTGATCATGGGTTTTTTGAACATCTTGATTTAGATTTATCGTTTGAATCCACTGATCATGAATTAATGTTCTTTCAGCTTTATTTTTTTTTTGTGTGAATTTTGTTGTGCAAAGATGGCTCCACAAGTGCTCAGCCACCAGGGAGTTACGTAGTAAGCTGTAGTGACCACACCTGGTTTCCCCATTTCTTGAATTATCTTTTTTTCTGATTAATATTGATAGTGTTATTATTATTATAATGTTATTAACCCATTGCCACCAGGGAAAATGAACAAAAAATAAGGAAAATGCTGTGCCTATTTTCTATATTTTTTGTGAAATGTTTGCCCATAGATGGCTCTGTTAGTGCCTGATTAGAAATGGCGGAAAAACGTATTTTTCACTAGTGCCATGAATGTCGATGGTGTTATTTTTTATATAAACATTATGATTATTATAATGTTTTTTAACAATAGTAACAGCAAAATAAGATAATGTAAAATGTTTCGTAAATCAAAGAAAAGGGTGAACGGGCGAGACAGGCAGTACTTGTAACTGGCTCATTGGTGATTTAGTACAAGTGTAGCCATCTATGTGTGAAAACAATCAAACAAGTAATCTCACAGTGGGCATGGCATGCCTGTCGGCAGTAGGTTAAAATACTAATAATGAAATTTTAAATAAAAATTTCAGTAAATTATTGGAAAGGGTAAATAGATGAGATAGGTAGGACTAATAGTTGACTCCTTGGTGATTAAGTCAATGCTTCCAGGAAAAGGCTATTTTTTATTTTATTTATTTATTTATTTTTGTTATTTTATTTATTTTTTTGTGTGTGTGAAATGTCTTTACACATAGATGGCTCTACTGGTACTTAGCCACAAAGGAGTTAATTAGTAGATCTTGTGACCTTAACTGATTTCACCTTTCCCTCAATTGGCAGGAAAAACTTTTTTTTGAAAATGAAGGGAAAGGGTAAGCAGGCGAGACAGGCAATACTTGTAACTGGCTTATTGGTGACTTAGTACATGTAGCCATCTATGTGTAAGAACAATTAATAAAGTAAACCCACAGTAGGCATGGCATGTACATACATTTCATGCCCATTGGATTTGGGTTAAGCAATGATAAAGCCATCTATGTGTAAATTCAATTAACCGATTACCTCCTGGAGAATTTGGGGCGAGCTTGGCCTCCACTCCAGGGAATGTGGGCAGCTGGCTGAGCTAATTTCAGATTTGGCTGGTGTGGTGAATAAATTACTTGTGTTGCACTCTTATGTAAACAATGAAATGCAGTCTTATTCTTACAAAATAAGAAATAAATCTTCATTCCTCAAAAATACTTGCTAAGTTCTAATGCATATGTGGTTATTTCATTATATATGGCAAATACTGTACTTAAATGTTCTCCTAATAATCAACAGTGATTTAAAATGCATTACTAAATTAGGAGCTTTAGAACAACTTCTTTCGATGCAACTAATATGCTATCACACGCAGGTATCCTGATTTTCTCAACTGATTTCCTATCCTGTAATCACATGGGCACCTGGTTCAAGTCTTCCAATTTGTCGTAGTCTCCCTCTCCATTGCCACTGCTGCTGCTCCGTTATTTCTTCCTCGAAGAAGTCCATCTAATACAAGGATTAATAGGCAGATATGAAACCAGCAGAAGCAGAGTAGATATATATATTTTTTAATTTTTATAATTTTCTTTTATCAAATGCTGATATAAATGTAAACTTGTATGTTTGTACAGAATTATATGTTTGTATATTTATGAATATATATTTGACTATATATAAAATATATGAATGCATTCAGTATACATTTATATAAATATATTTATGTATCTTTCATATAGTTCATTATCATTCATATATTCATTATTATATGTGTGTATGAATTATTTATTTATTTATTTTTAGGTGTTGTATATTTATTTGTTTATCATTACTGTCAATTTATATATTATAACTTTTTTATCTATATAAATGTAGTAGTTTTGGATTTTTTAATAATGAATTTCTTAGATTTCATAATTTACTTTGTATATATTATTATTATTATTATATACATTCATACAGTTTATTAGAAAACAACAATGCAACTTAATAGACAATCAATAAGCACTTATAATAAACATTTTAAATAGGATAGACAGGCAAAAAAAAAAACTGTATTGAAAATTTATTGAAAAAGATAGAGGATGCCAGAAGTGGCTTTTTACAATTGTTAAATGTCCAGTATATTTTAAACAGATCACTATACATTTGTCACAGACTAATAACACTACTTACAAGCACTGTATAATGGGAAGTTAAAGGCTTTCCTCCTGATTACAAAAAAAATTAAAATTGCATTAATTTACCAATGATTTCAACATTGTCAGAATAGCCAAGGAAAAGAAAACTATCAGTGCTTTTATTTCTGCAATTCACAATGCTATTTACAAAAATAAGAAATAAATCTTCATTCCTCAAAAATACTTGCTAAGTTCTAATGCATATGTGGTTATTTCATTATATATGGCAAATACTGTACTTAAATGTTCTCCTAATAATCAACAGTGATTTAAAATGCATTACTAAATTAGGAGCTTTAGAACAACTTCTTTCGATGCAACTAATATGCTATCACACGCAGGTATCCTGATTTCCTCAACTGATTTCCTATCCTGTAATCACATGGGCACCTGGTTCAAGTCTTCCAGTTTGTCGTAGTCTCCCTCTCCATTGCCACTGCTGCTGCCTCCGTTATTTTTCTCGAAGAAGTCCCTCTCAACCACCTGGCACAGTTTGACAAGGTTGCCAAATGACCTGACAATAGTTGCCAGGCGGTTGTCAGGGAGAGGTGTGGTCAGGAGAGTGAACAGGTGGCCAAAAACTAAGGCATCTAGCTCTGTTGGTCTGAGAAAGAGGAGGAGAATGTTTGAGGAAATAATTATTTGGGAAAAGAAAATTATGTGGGAGAGAAAAAAAAAAAAGTGCAACTGCGTGTGAGAGATGAAAATGGAGAAAAAGTGGATTTGTTGCTTGGGAAAAGGGTGGGGGGGTAGCTTCCTTTGGTCAATATTTTCATTCCTTTTATTTAGGTGGCTATATTTAACTTTTATCTTCTTTAAAATAATATACATCACTTTACTGACACTCATAACTTTGTTAACTTTGGAATACAAGTCGGATTCACTACTGAAAGCCATTTCAATTCATTTAAATACTGATAGCTCTTTAAAGAGGACTTCAAGCATACTTCTCTGACCAGCAAAGCAAACACATCATCATACAGAGATGAATAACAAATAGCAAGCTTGCATGCTGCAAAAGAACTAGAATAGTTATGAACAGTTGAACATGCAAGTCTAAATTTTTTAGTTGGATAACTTTTGTCAAACTCACCTGTTGCCAAAGAAAAACTCGTGGTTATCGAGTCGTTCAGAAAGGGCATTGCAGCAGTGTTCAACTTCATTGTACACCTGTGAAATAGATAACTAGTTTTAGATGAAAGGTGACAATAATACCTGGAGAAAATCAAAAGGAACATGATATTTTTAGGGCAGGTCTCTTGTCATTATTATTTATTGGTGGTGCTGTTAGTGTTAGTGGTTATTGTTGTTTTGGTGTTGGTGGTGGTATCAGTGGTGGTATTGGTATTAGTGGTGATACCAATACTGCTACTTGTGGTCATGGTATTGGTGTTAATGGTGGTGGTGGTATGAGTATTGATAGTGATAGTGATGGTGATATTGGTATTACTGGTGGTGATAGTTGTGGCATTGGTATTACTAGTGATGGTAGTTGCATTGGTATTGATGGTGGTGGCATTAGTATTACTGGTGATGGTATTGGTAGAGCTGGTATACTATTAACAATGCTATTAAGTGTTGGTGGCAGTACTGGTGGTATTGGTATTAGTCTTGGTATTTGTATTGGTATCAGTACTGCTATTAGTATTGCTATCAGTGGCTTTGGTATTGGTGGCCCCCCCCCCAATCCCTTGCCCGTTGTTGTCGTGGGGGGGGGGGGCTTAGGAGGCAGAGACTGGGACTCAATGATGGGGAACTCCCCAACCTTGAGACTCAGCCCTCGACTCAACTAATTTTGTATGGTCTTTTTTCCCTTCCTACTTTTTCGTTTCTGTCCCTTCACCAATCCCTTCTACTATCCACTTCCTTAGGTGTAAGACCCGTGCTGAAAGGCTGACTTTGTGCCAGTCCTGAACAGCCTGAGGGAGCCATGGGCATGATATTCCCCTGATTTAGTTACCTAGCCCTTACCTCTCAAGGGGACCCTGAGGGGTGGACTGCTTTTCTCCCCAACAAATTCCAGGTTTACCATGGCCAATAATGAAGACGTAGTTTCACTATTAGAGGCAATGAGGCTTGCCCCTTCATCAAATAGCCCCAACAATTCAAACCCTACCGATTCCCTGACCCCAGGCTCTCCTTTGACCACGGCTCCAAACACTGCAACAACTACCCCCTTGTCAATGCCTACTAGTACAGTAGTCAACACTCAACCCTCAAGAGACATTTCCACTCTCCCAACATGCTCAACTTCAACACCTCTACCCTCACAACCTTCTACATCAACTACCCCATCCTCCCTTATTAATACCTTACAGCCTTATTGCCCACCTCTCCATAACACTACCTCCCTCAACACTACTCCCTCTTCGACACGCCCCCGCCCTTCTACTGCCCCTATCTGTACAACAATCTTAAATACTCTATTTAGCCCAGCTAAATGGGACCGATTTTTCGTGATCCCTCCCATAGCTCCCTACTCTGACAACACTCTTCTCTTCCAGCAATGTCTCCAAAAACAAGTAGGCAAAGTCTCTTTCCATAGCCGACCTGGCCGCTCCCATCTCATGACAGTAACCTCTGAAAACCAAACTATAGCATTAGCAAAACTAACTGATCTATGTGGTAATCCCATCCTTGCAGAACTCCATCCAACCCTCAATACTTGCACTGGAACTGTTTCATCTCCCCGGCAAATTGCCCAATCTATGACAAAGATTGGTCAGATTGTGGAGAAGACTTACTCGCATGGCTCACTGACTATGATGCGACATCAGTACACTGCTACTCCATTCCTCCCAGAGGTCATCGTAAGAAACCCACTAACATTGCCAAAATTACTTTCTGTAGATATGACCTTCCCTTTAATGTTTACATAGATGGAGAATCCCTCCCTGTCCGACCATACCAACCTCCTCCTTGTCAGTGCCAAAATTGTTGGAGTTTAGGACAAGCAGCTAAACATTGCCGTTCCATAGCCAGATGCCCACTATGTGCCCAACCTGGCCATACTCGATCAAATTGCTCTGCACAGTCACGCACATGTGCCAACTGGGGCGGCCCCCTTAATATATTTATAGGGGCTGCCCCACCTACAAATTTTAGTCTGAGGTGGCAACTCTCAGATTCAGACTTGGACTCACACTATGTGAAGCCAGACAGGAAGCACGTTGATGAGGTTTTTCTCTTAATCCCTACTCCAGTAATATTGCTCATTCTACCACTTCCCCTACCTCCTACACCCTCTCCTAAACCTACCCTCCCTCCATCTAACTCCCCCTCTTCTACCTCCTACCTTCCCCAGTCAAACTCTTTTGCCATCCTCAATCCAGACACTAATCTCTACTACAGACACTCCAACCTCCACTACAAGCCTAACACCTTCCCCTCTCCCTCCCTGCACTACCCCCAACAGACAGAACAAACGTTCCACCCCCTCTTCCCCTACCACACAATCACCTCCACCTTCCTTTGCCCCTACTCTTGAGACACCAGTCTTCTCTTCCCTCCTCACAAGAAATCCTTTATCTCACAAAACTCCCCAACCAATTCCATTGAAGAAACTCTTGAAAATATTCAAGACTACTTAATGAAAACTGACACTCATCAACCTTCAAATCCTACAACTCCTGCTCCCTCCACACTCCAAGTGACTGTCAATATCCATCCTCCTCCTAACGATATCCCCCCTACACCCTATCCTCGTACCCCCTCCCAACACAGCCCATCCCCCCCGACTCCAACCCCGCCCACATTAACCCTCCCACCATCCCCTCTATCCCTTCCACTGCCTCCTGGATACACACGTGAATCCCTTATATCACAAGTATCACCTTCCACACCCGTCTAACACACTCCTATCTGATACCTCTGCTCCCCCCCCCCCCCACCTATCCTCCCTTCACCGACCTCCCAACCTATCGGACATCCTTACAGAATCTCACACTTTCTGCTTCGATAACCTGTTTTCCTTCCTCAAACGCATAAATATCCTTCACTTAATCTAACCCCTTTACATTACCTCACCCGACCTTAACCCATTCACTCACCAATTCATTTGCCCAGCTTTGACAGCTAATCACTAACTCAGCCACCCTTCACTAACATTTACTATAGTGCTACATGACCTTAGATGTCTAGCACATTTATTTTGCTTTTAACCATTAACCATTGGTATTGGTGGTGGTGATAGTAATAATGATGGTAGGCGTAAAAAAGAAAAAGAAAACAAGAACAAAACATCAACCTCCTCCAGCGACTTCTGCTTCCAGCCAAGGACACGGAGGCGTCGCAGGACCTGGTTGCGCTTCTGACGGGTGAGGACGTGGTTGATGGGCCACGGGTAGACCGAGCCGTAGCGGGGCTTGGTCACCTCCTCGTATGTCACTTGGTCGATCCACGAGAGGTACAGCTGGGGGGAGAAGAAGGAAGTATAATAAACGTAGGAGGGGAAAAGAAGGAAGGATAATAAAGCTAGGGGAGAAATGATAGAAGTATAGTAAAGTTAAGAGGAAAAGAAGGGAGGAAGGATAATAAACCTAGGGTGAACAGAAGGTAGGGCAAAAAGAAAGAATAATAAAGCTAGGGGGGGAAAGGAGGAGGATAAAGCTTTGGGGAAAAGAAGGAAGGATAATAAAGCTAGGGGGGGAAAGGAGGAGGATAAAGCTTTGGGGAAAAGAAGGAAGGATAATAGAGCTGGGGGGGGATGGGAGGATAATAAAACTTGGGGGAAACGAAGGAGGGATGATAAAGCAAGGGAGGAAGAAAGAGATATAATATTTTTGGCAATTAATAACTAAAATATTAATTATTAAAATTGTGAAAATCGTTACAGAGGAATAAATGGCTAAGAAAAGGAGAGCTATATTTTCTCATCAATGAATTAATAAACATCTGCAATTTCCTGCTTCGCACAGGCAATGGTGCAGCCTTTAAATATTTATGCATGATTATTTACATATATTTAAAAACAATGTTCATATGCAAAAATAAACAAAGAAGCCTTTACTAAAACAAATCCAAGTATATTTACATACACCTTTTGTAATATGAATAAACCGAGTTTGCAAATGCAACCTGAATTCACACAATATACAACACATTACGATGCACTTTTTTCATGGATAACAAAACAAAAACACATAACCCTCAACAAATATTTGAAAAGAGTAATGAAATGATTTCAAATGAACGAACGCAAATATTCCCACCTCTGCATTTGCCAGCACGTTGTTAACCAGTGACATGTAAGCTCTCATGTCAGCCTTCTGCGTGGTGTCCAGGCCGTCTGTCAAGGTCACTCCCTTGGGGAAGGAACAATTAAGTTCAAAAATGAGATGAGGAAATGTATTTAATTCCTTCGTAAATTCGTTCAGTAATAAATAACTTTCTTGGTGATACAGAATACAGAGAATACTGTCTAATACACACAATTTTTATTCATTTTAGTTTTTTTTTCCTTTCTTTCTTTCTTTTATAAGCATACGAACCTAGTCCCATTTTTTTTCCATCCCATCTAATCTAACGCTACACAAAATTCCCCGACCTGTCGACACGCACCTTATCATGCACTCCAGCCCGTCCTTCTGAAACCTTCCCCCATCCTACAAGGCCATTTCCCAGGCCATCCTATCGTTCTCAATCCCGGGTCGTGAGTAGGCCCTCAAAAAAGACCTCCAACTTATTCCAAAGAGCGTTAAATGCATCTATAAAATATGAAGAAATCAAGGTCCCCTGAAATCAATTTCCTTTCCTATGGGCAGAGGAAAAGAAAGAAAAAATTAAACACAATTTCCATCCTATATACCAATTTCCATCCTATATACCAATCTCCATCCTCTAAGCAATATCCTTAACCCTCCATGACACACTCTCAGTCCTACAAACCACTCGAAATGACCCACTCCCGAGGCGACAAAGTATCTTACACCTTCATCCCCATTCCCCGGAGTTGGTGACCGGAAGTAACTGAGCTCACGCGACTTACCTTGTTAGCGACAAAGGCCACGATCGGGTCGAGTTCAGCCACCACAAAAGCGCCCGCCTTGATGAACGGCACACGACCTAGAACATAACAGAAGATATTTAGGATACGCGAAGAGGAAACACATGTGGGGGCGGGGCGGGAAGAAAGGAGGTAAAAAGAAGAAAGGAAGGGAAGAGAGGTAGGTAAAGGAGGAAAAGAGAGAGAGAGAGAGAGAGAGAGAGAGAAAAGGAGAGGGAGAAGGGGGGGAGGAGAGGGAGAGAGAGAGAGAGAGAGAGAGAGAGAGAGAGAGAGAGAGAGAGAGAGAGAGAGAGAGAGAGAGAGAGAGAGAGAGAGAGAGAGAGAGAGAGGGAGAGAGAGGCAGGGAGGGAGAGGGAGAGAGAGAACGAGCTCATAGACATAGAGAAACTGTGTGTGTGTGTGCGGGGGGGGGGGGGGGGTCCTTGTGCGTGCATTAATGTAATGAATCAAACAACAGACTCCAGTATCAATGAATTATTTAAACAGACAACTATCGCATGACAACGCACACTCCATCTCCGTCTCCTCAATTCTTAAAATCACAAAAACAAAAAAGAGAGAACGATATTACGTACACGAATTGCAAAAATAATACTGACTATAATGATAAGTAAAATAATCACTAATAAGGATAAACAAAATGGTACTAACAATAATGCCACTAATTATGACAGTAAACAAAATAACTGTACTATTTTGTTTTCTGTTACAATTACTGACATTATCATTAGTACCATTTTATTCATCATTACCTTAATTCCGTACTAATATTATTAGTGTCATTTTATTCATCATTATCTTAATACCATTCTATTTACCATTTTTATTTATGTCATTTTATTTACCATTAGTATTATTCCCAATTTCCCTGTCATTCCATACCGAGACAAGCTCTTTATATATATATATATATATATATATATATATATATATATATATATATATATATATATATATATATATATATATATATGTATATACATATATATTTTTTTCTTTATTATGCATAAACAGCTCTGATACCAACATGCAGGTTACGAAAAACTGTCATTTTCTTCTCAGGTAAAATTTGTCGTATGAATGTCTTCAATGTGATAATACTGTAAAGAGCTCGGACAAAAACATATGATAAAGTTTATATATATATATATATATATATATATATATATATATATATATATATATATATATATATATATATATATATATATACACATACATACATACATACATACATACATACATACATACATATATATATATATATATATATATATATATATATATATATATATATATATATATATATATATATATATATATAATAATAATAATAATAATAATAATAATAATAATAATAATAATAATAATAATAATAATAGTAATAATAATAATAATAATAATAATAATAATCCCATGAAAAAAAATCAACAACAATAATAACAAGAAAATCAACATAATAGTAATAATAATAATAATAATAATAATAATAATAATAGTAATAACAAATAATAATACTAACAATACTACAACTACTACTACAAATAGCAACAATAACAGCAATGATAATAAAAAATAACAATCATAGTAATGATAATGATAATAATAATAATAATAATAATAATAATAATAATAACAACAACAACAAAAACAACAATGAAAATATTATTAGCAGCACCATCATTAATACCAATACCATCCTCTCTAGCCTCACCGCCAGCACTATTACCCCCATACACACAACATGAGCCAGCAGACACATCCCCCTCCACGTAATTAATAATGAAAAAAGGCAACCCGGTAACTCGACAGCCCACGGAGGCCCAGCCCTCATGCAGCGGCGGCCAAGGCTAGGAACAACCCGGGGTCTATATAGATCTATCTCGGGGTGGATAGCTTGTCATAATAACGGGATATATATATCGCAGGTATATATCGCGGGTATATATCGAGGGTATAACCCAAGTATAACGCAAGAGGCCTAACTGCTGTCTATCGAGCGTCACGGAATCCTGGAAGTGAACCGCAATGACGAGCATTAACGGTGCCATAACACACGCTATATGGGGAGGGGGGGGAGTAAGGAGGGGAGGGGAATGGAGAGAAGGGAGGGGGAGAATGAGGAATGGGAAGAGGAATGGGAAGACGACGGAGGGAGAAGGAAAGGGGGAGAACACGGAGGGCAAGGGGAGGGAGGGAATGGGATATAGGGAGAAGGGAGGGAGGGTAGACAACGTAGGGGAGGGGTGAGAAGGAGAGGTGAGAGGGAAGAGAGAAGGAATGGGGAGGAGGAGGGGCGGGGGGGGGGGACACATGAGGGGAAGGAGAAGTCTACCGTTTGGAAAGTCGCAACAAGATGAAACTAGAACGGATTCTGCTCGATTCTGCTCCCCCCCCCCCTCCGTCTCTCTCCCATCCTTTTTTCATTCAGCACTCTCACTGCCTCCCGCTTTATTTTCTCTCCTTTCCCTCCTCCTCTTCTACCTATGCTTCTTCTCCCTCTCTCTCTCCTGTTTACTCCTAGATCCATATATCCTCACTCTTTGTCCTTCGATCTCTTTCTCTGTCTCTCTCTTTCTCTTTCCCTCCTTTCCTCTTTCTCTTTCGCTTCCTTCACGGTCTCTCTTTCTCTTCCTCTCTTCTCCCTCTTCCTCTCCTTCACCCTCTCCCCTTCTCTCTCATCGCCTCTAAGACAGACATAATAAATTCACGACCTGTCTATAACGGCCCTAAATACGAGGGTGGCGGCGCGGGACGACAAATTAGAATCTGAGGCCATAAGGAAAATGGGAAAAAGAATAGAAAATGGATAAAAAACAAGTAGAAAATGGGAAAACGAGTAGAAAATGGAAAAATGAATAGAAAATGGGAAAATTATGGAAACATGAATAGAAAACGAATGAAAAATGGGAATACGATTAGAAAACGGGAAACGAGTAGAAACGGGAAAACGCATAGAAAATGGAAAAAAAACTACTAGAAAAAAGTGGAAACAAACAGAAAATGGGAAAACGAGTAAAAAATGGACAAACTGATAGAGAGCAGAAAACGAATAGGAAGCGAATTAAAGAGCACTAAAAGACAAACAAGGAGAACGACGAAGAATGAAAAATAAATACAAAAAATGGAAATGGGAGAGAAATAATGAAAGACAGAGGAAAAAAAAAACAGAAAAAAGGGAGAAAAAATAGCAGACAGAAAGAAAAAGAGGATGAGGAAATATGAAAAAAGAGATAAAAAAAGGAAAGAAAAAAAGGGAGACAAAAGAACAAAATCTGAAAGAAAAAATATATGCATAAAAGACAAAGAAGCCGAAAGAACAAAGGTGCAAAACAAAGAAAAAACTTTTTAAATAATCCAAAAAATATAAAGAAAGAGAGAAAATCTGAACCGAGAAAGAGAAAAAATAAGAGAGAGAGAGAGAGAGAGAGAGAGAGAGAGAGAGAGAGAGAGAGAGAGAGAGAGAGAGAGAGAGAGAGAGAGAGAGAGACATGACGGCCACCAGGAGCCTTCCCGAAAAGCCAGAGTATAGATGGCGTGACGAGGCGTAACAGGAAGCCGTGTCTGTTATTTATGTCGGTCATGCATTCTTTATAGTCATGCATGCATACCTCCCCCTCCTCTCCTTCTTCCTCCTCTTCCTCCCCCTCCTCCCCATTTCTTGGCATCCCTTCCCTTCTCCCTCTCCCTTATACCTTCACCCCCTCCTCCTACCCTTAGATTTTCCACTCCCTCTGCCCCCTCCCTTAACATCCCCCCCCTCTCTCTCCCTTTCTCCTCCCCTCTCTTCCCCACCTTCGTCCCTCCCTTGGGTTTTCCTCCCCCCTCTGTCCCCTCTTTCATCCTCTCTCCTTCACACTCCCTCCCTTTCTTACCTTTTCTCCTATAGTTACTCCCCTTCCCTTAGTGACCCTCCCTCTCTCTGCCATTCCCTTAAATTCCCTTCCTCTCCGTCCCTTCCTTTATCAACTCTCCTCTACTTCTCTACCCCTCCCTTACCATCCCTTCCATCCTCTTCCCCTGCATTTCCCTTACACCAATTATTTACCTTCTCTTTATCTTCCTTTTATTTACCTTCTCTTTATCTCTTCCTTTGTCCGTGGATGCTGAGGGATTCGCCCTAAACAACAGGCAAAGATGGCGGATCTCCTGGCCTTTATTTCTTCACATAAAAAAACAACAAGAATTTACAGGAATGGGAAGTAACCGAGTTGTTTATTTGTTTGTTTGTTTCTTTCTTTCAACTACAATGAAACTTTACCATTCACTATCTGTTTCTTTTACTCTTATCTTTTATTAGCTTTTTCTATCTTTACAAAATCTCTCTTGACTTAAAACCTTTACTTTTGTAATTCTGTTAAAATTATCATTTCCATTACAATTTCCACCATCTTTATCCTCGCAATTTCTCATCTACAATCTAATAATCTTTTTCTGTTTTCTTGATTTTTTTCTTTTTACTCAGTTATTAACAACCATTACCTTCGATTTTTTTATTTTTTTATATAATCTCTCTTATCTTTATCGCCATCCTCCCTCTCTCCTTCATTACCCTACCTCTCCTTGCCTCCCCTAAAACCCTTATTTCTCTTTTTTTCCTTCTCCTTCTTCTCCTCTTCCTCTTCCTCTTCCTCTTTCTCTTTCTCCTCCTCCTCCTCCTCCCTTCCCCTCTCTTTATCGCCACCCTCCCTCTCCCTGCCTCCCCCTCCGAACCTAAAACCTTCCCGAAAACCACACCCACTCACCTCCCTCCTTCCTTCTCGCCCGTAAATCATTCCCGTTTGTCAATAATCTTCTAAAAAGAACTTGCGTTAACCCCTTCCTCGCCTCTCCCTTAAGCACGACAACTCTTCGCCCACTCTTCCGCACGCAGACGCTATCTTGCCGTCTGTTGACTTCTGAGATGATGATGATGATGATGGTGATGATGATGATGATGGTGATGATGATGGTGATGATGATGATGATGATGGTGATGGTGATGATGATGATGATGATGATGATGATGATGATGATGATGATGATAATAGTAGTAGTAGTAGTAATGAAGTAACTCTGT